ATAGCTGGATCAATTTAAATAGTTTCCTCATCTGAGTTCAGTCACCTCTTTTAAGACGCTGAACTGTCATACATCAGTAATGAGTTTTAACTGCCTCTTTTAGCCCATGAACAGGCTTCAAATACAAAAGTTTCAGTACTTAACTCAAGAAATATAATACATTTTAAATGCCATGATGCATTTAAAACTCCTAGAAAGTGTACACTATGAATGCCTGGCTCTGCTGACCTAAGGAGAGCTGACTGCTCTGCTGTGATGTAGTAGAAATATAAGCAAAGATAGGGGAAACTGCTGGGACAGGGGGAAGGAGCTGGTAGCTGTTGGAAGGAGGAAAAACATATGCAAGACTGAAAAATGGATCTAAGCTGAGACAGGCAGCTAGAAATGTCATTTTCCTACAGCAGTGACTGAAGACTGATATGTTAGAGACTCATGCCTCTTTGACAGCAGTACATAATATTAATCTGCAGAAGCTAACAGTGTAACACTTCACCAAGGATAACAAGAATTTCCTTCCTAAGTAAACTAATCTTGCTGATGAAATGGGTTTTTATAGCTAGCTCTTCTGGGGCTTTCCTCTATGTTGTCTGAGATAGATCTTGATTTTATCACTAATTTACTCAGCTCATAACTAGAATGGAATAGAACTACCTAATCCAGGTATGAAGTGCTATTCTTTGAAAATACTGTTTCCTTCTTGCACAAAGATTTTTTCAGTCTGATCTGTAGAACAGATTTTCTGCACAGCATTGATTAGCATGAAATGTATTGCTTAATATGTCTTCTTAATTGGGCTACTGCTAGACTGGAATCATGCATTTCAAGGATTGTCCACATAAAGTCAGTGAAAAATTCTTACTATTTGTTTTGAAATACTGAACAGAGAGATGGTATTTCAGTCATCTCCAGACTTATACTGGTTCCCAATAGCCAGACTCTTCAATGTTTTTATTCAGTTACTTCTCCTAGTTGGATACTTCAGTAAGACTAGACTAGGTTGTATTTACCCTATGAAAAGACTGTTGTGGGATTTTATTGCAAAGACTTAAAGTTTCTAGCAATCTTGTCCATTGTTTTCCATTCTTGCCCCAGTTCTGCTCTTACAGAATCAGCAGCTAATTTTGCATTACTCCTCCTCTAATAAACCAGAAAACACTCTTATCTCTGCTTGTGCTTCACACATCTTTAACCCTTGCTTCCTGCTTGCTAGAATGAGTGTTTTGTGTTGTTATGAAACCACCCCTGCTCAGACTTTATGTTAACACTGATGATCTTCTGTGATAAGATACTGTACAACTTTACAGTGTCACACACTAAGCACAGCAGCGTGCGGGCGCTCACATGATGGTCATTTAATATCCATGACTCACAGTCCACAGGACTAGGACTCTGGCCAGCTGGGATTTGTTCTAAGTGGCGTGAAATGACAAACAGTGCATGAGATACAGCTCAGATACCAAACATGGTGGCCAGGCATTTAAAAAAAAAAAAAAAAAAGTCTCCTTGCCTTCTCTAACAGAAAAAATAAGAAATCATGCAGAAGATTCACTCACAGGATATGTATATATATATTTGATAATGTACAAAATATCAGGTGCCAAAATGAAGAAAGTGATATTTTGCCCTTCATAGGCAGGTTTTGCACCTTTCCTAATCTCTGGCTGTGTTCTTTTCTTACCTTTGTTTTAATTTCTTGGTTTACGATGGAAATTAATAACTACTCTAACCACGCTTGTACTTTCTGCCTGATTTTTGTATTTAAAACTGCAATTTATTTTCTGTGGCTTGGTATTCAGTTGGGATGTTATATAGTTGCAGAGCGCAGGAGGGATTAGTTGTTACTCTGTGATTCACCCAGTCCCTGAGGAGAGCTATATAAAGATCATCCTCATCTCCTTGGCCCCAGGGAAGCTAGGGGGCAGATTATGAGCTAGCGGAAAAGATGTAGGTCTCACCATCTGCAAAGAGGTTCCAGGAGTACACATCTCCCTGTCCTTATGTTGTGCGCAACTGGAAAAAAGGTGTGCTCCATCTCTCAACTACTGTTAGCGTAGACAAGGGAGGAGAGTTTAAAGAAAAACAAAACGACTGAAAGTTCTCTTTCCCACTGTGCAACTGTTCCTTTCACTGGAATTACTCAAGGTTTCTTTTTCCAAAGAGAAGATGATGTGAAAAGGCAAAACTGAGGGATTTGTTGTTTACAGATGCCTTTTCTCCATAGCCTGGGAATCCTGAAATACAACTGCCTTTTAAGGGCAGGTTATTTTCAACCACTCCCTTCATTTATGTTCCTGTTAAACCCATGGCTTAAGTGGGGCTTCTGTGCTGGAGAGATTTTGCACTGGCTCTTTGCCCAGGGATGGATTGCAGCAAGAGTAGACTCTGACAGAAATAGGTGGTTATGTGTGTAGAACTCTTAAGTCTTCAAATGAGAATATCACTGCTAGAGGTCGAGGTTTATGCTTGCCAGTATTTCCCCCATTTACTGAAGTTGACTCTTGTTTCCAATGCTGTCTGTTTTCATAGCATGCTCACAAAGGTGAGGATTTTCTCATTTCAGTCCTTGCACAAATGATGCAACTTTGGATACTTTTGCCTCTGAAACTTTTTCATTAAGAATTTCAAACTTTATGCTCTCATATTAAAATTTCTTCCAGACTATTTGTTTACATGTGAAAAGTATTCTAAAAACACTTCTATAAAATATTAAATTGTGGGTTTTTTACATGTTTTATCTAAGGTTTTGACATTTTGGGACTTATTTGTTCTCCAGAAATCTTTTCTAGACTTTCAGAAGCAAAACTTTGAATTCCAGAAAAGAAAATCTTAAGCAAATATGTGAATATTTTTAATCTGCTTTTCAAAAAACTTGGAATTATGTATGTAAAACCAAAAGTATGATAACTGCTCCTTACTTTGCCCGTTAAAGGTGACTCAAGATATCATATGGAAAATTTGAATAGAGAAGGAAACTGAAAGCTGACAACTATGACAACACTTGCTTCAGATTTTGTGTTTCTTGTTGCACAATTTAGTTATACTTGTCCATCTATTTTTGCATCACCATTTTGTCCAATATCTCATCACATGCAGCATAGTTTTCCTACTTCATGCTGTACATAAACTGTAAGGTTTCCGCTAAATGTAGGTTATTCAATATAAAAAGCCTTTCCAAAAAGATGTCTGACCTTTTTACAACAAGAACAGTTATATATTTTTTCAGTTTTGAACTGAGTTTTTCTGTATTACCACTATCTTTACTAGGGCTTTACTGCTTTTGATTTTGTTTTTAATATCCATTAGGTTAAAATGTTATTTTATATACAAGTTGCTGTTCATTTTTTCTGAAAGCAAACTCAAAGAGCCTTGTACAAAAAAGGAATGAGATTTGTAATGGTCCACAGTTCCTTGGAGAATTGTCTTAGCCTTAGATGACACTTTGAGAACTTAGAGAGCCTTAGAGAACACTTTGTCCTTGCACAGGCAAGTCTTCCTTAGTTATAAGGGGATACTCACACAGGGATTACCAGACAATGAAAGTCCTTCAAGGCTGAGTCCAAATTTTGGAACTGATATTTTTGAACTTGAACTTGATGTGGTTCTCATGTGAACCACATGAAATTCAACAAGGCCAAGTGCAAGTTCCTACACCTCTGTTAGGATAATCTTAAGCATAAATACAGGCTAGATGGAGAATGTTTGAAGGCAGGCCTAAGAAGAAGGACCTAAGAATGTTGGTGGATGAAAAACTCAACACGAGTCAGTAATGTGCGCTTGTAGCCCAGAAAGCAAACCCTATCCTGGGATGCATCTAAAGAAATGGGACCAGCAGGACAAGGGAGGTGATTCTCACATTCTACTCCACTCTTGTGAAACCTCATTCATCGTACTGTGTTCAGGTCTGAGGTCCCCAACAAAGGAAAGATGTGGACCTGTGGGGGTGGGTCCAGAGGAGTATGATCAGAGGGCTGTAGCAAAGACAGGCTGAGCGAGCTGGGCTTGTTCAGCCTGGAGAAGAGAAGGTACTGCGGGTACCTTATGCCTTTGACAGACCTTTGACAACTAAACAGGGTCGACAAGAAAGCCAGCTTTGTCTGGAAATATAGTAACTGCATGAGGTAATGCCAATAAATTAATAGTGTAGATTTAGATTAGATATAAAGAAAAAAAATTCTTTACTCAGAGGGTGGTGAAGCAGTGGAAAAGGCTGCCTAAAAAAGTTCCTGTAAGTGTTCAAGGCCACACTGGATGGGGCTTTGAGCAACATGGTCTAGTGGAAGGAGTCCCTGGCCGAGGCAGAAGGATTGGAACTGGATTATTTTTAATGTCTCATAAAACCTAAACCACACTATGATTCTATTCTGTGATTCTGTACCTAATACTATTGACATTAAAGCTGTGATACAGAGGAATGAGTATCTTTTCTTCACATATTGCATTATGTATTTTATATGTTTGGATTTTGTTTGTTTGTTTGTTTTCAGAAAGGAGTTTTCCTGTGTTCTTTGAGAAGATCAGACAAAAGGCAATATTGAAATGAATGATAAAGGTTGTAACAACTTCACTAGGTCCAGGATTTTACCATAGAATAATGAAAAACAGAAATGAACAGAAATGAGCAATGTACTGCACTGTCACTCTTGAGATCTGAAAGGTCATTTTTGATATGAATGTTGGACATCAACAAAACACTACTTTGGAAGTGAAGGGTGTGCTATAAATGATGTTGAATCCACATGATGCTACCTATTGGATTTTTTTTTTTTTTTTGGTTAATTTGCATTTTGTTTGCAATAATGTGAGAAATTGAGAAGTGAATTTGTAAACATTTCTTCCTTATTATCAGTCTATATTGCTAAGATGTATTTAAAAATTGGGCTGTCTGGTCTCAATTTCTCTGCTGAGTGACAGTCTAATCCATGTTTATTCAACAGTGAACCAAGAAATTTCTAAAGGAACATTTCAGCTACCTTTTGACAGTAACCATTCCTTTCAAGCAGCTTCCACTGGATATTCATCTACTGAAACACCATCTTGGATCAGCCATGTCCGAAGTTTACTGATTTTCTCTGGTAGATATATGGATGTTGATCAGGTTTACAAGAATTTATTTTTTCTCTACCTTTTTCTCCACCCTTTTCTATGGTTTCTGCCACAAAAAGGGAAAGAATTAGCACTGTGTTCACTGGACAAAATCTGGATGTTAGTTTGCTGAGACCTACGATGTAATTGCTAGCAATTGCATCTTTTACCCGAATAGTTTCCACAGGCTTCTAGGTGAAGGGCCTAATTTAAAGCATTCTACCCATTAAATTGACAATACTGCCTCTCTCTGTGCATTAACTATTAGCCCAGCTTTTCCTTCCTTTTGCTCTATGCAATATCTTCTATTTATTACTGTAAGAGGCATACATATAACTGTGAAGGTTCAGATGATGTATCTTCAATTTGCATAAGTTAACAGTTAAGATGTGGTGATCTTTGTAGTTGCCATCATGCTAATTTGATTGTCTGACAGGACTCATGATTAGCAGATCATATATAGGTGGAGATATTATTTTGTAGTGCTAGTGCAGTCAGAACTGGAAGCTACTCTGAACAGGTATTTTGGAGAGTACATGTGAAATGTCAAGTTGGAGGAACTTGACAAGAGGGCAAGAATCTAAAATGACTTTATTAGACTCTTGATGTGTGATAGCACTACGTGAACAGAGCAGTGGGGAGGTGGGGGGATACATACGTGGAAGAGAAGAGCAAGTAGTTGGTAGAGAACTCCCCCTCCTCCCTTTGTCATCCAAGATGATTAATGAACCTCTCTGTGGCTCTGTCCTGGTCTCATCAGAGAAAGAATCCAGTTAGCTTTCTCATAATGGCAGAAGTAATTAAAAAGGGGATCAACTTCAGAGGAACATAAAACACACACAAAAATCTGCCTCTTTAGTGATATCCCCTACATCCTTTACTGGTGGGGTTTCTGCTAATCTTATACCTGTTAATTTTCTTTCTAATTAGGGCTACAGCTCACCAGAGGCTGTTTTATATTTAATATATATAAATATAAACCATATATATATAAAGATATGGTTTAGGGGGCTGATCCTCTATTTTAGAAGAAGCAAGTGGAAGACTAGAAGACATGATACACAAGACAATGGAAGATCAATAGCTCTTTTTATCTTGGTTCAAAAACAGTATGAAAGATGCATAGAGTTTATAGTATGAACAGAAGGAAATTTTATAGGGAAAAATCTCAGTGTAGCCATGTATGTTTAGAATTTCAGTGAAACCATGTTTTAGATAATGTAATATAAAAAATTGCATGTCTTTTGTAAAATCAGAAAGTAAGTGCCACTGTCCTGTTAGCAAATGGAACTATTAATATCTAGCATCCTCTTCTCTCTCTTTTGTCTCTCCAACCCTGAAATGAGGCAAGGAAAACACCAGGCTGCTGGACGAAGACCAACTCTGAAAACTATATGTACACATATTTTCTCTTTTGAGGTCAAATGTTCTGCTTGAACGCTAATCAGAAATTTCTCAGTGAAATAGGTTTTGATCAGTTAAATATTTGTTGAGCCTGAGTATTTTCCAAGTATTTTTCATTAATTTTAAACACGGGTGTTTTATAGAATTCCTGTTGGATTTGCTGGATTCCTTGCAAAGCAGATATTTCAGAGTGTTTCAGAGGAAATCCAAAGAGGAATCATGGAATCTCAGAATGGTTTGGACTGGAAAGAACCTTAAAGCCCACTCAGCCCCATTCCCTGCTGTAGGCAGGACTGCCCCCCACCAGCTCAGCCGCCCAGGGCCCCATCCTACCTCCCTTGAGCCCCCCTCCAGGGATGGGGCACCACAGCTTCTCAGGGCCTGTTCAGTATTTCCTAACTCTGGGTTGCCAAATTTGTTCAGAGTCTGAGGCTTCCTAAAGCTGTAAGTCTGAAAGCCCCAGGAGGCAGGAGGTTCTGAAAACTGTACATGTTCCTATCACAGAACTGAGATTAAAATTTTAAAAGTCTTGGAACATGCTTCCAAGGTCTGTGGCTGGAATACTTTCTTCATGATGAATTTGTCACAGAACCAAGAATCACTGAAGCTGCCCAGAGCCTATAGAAAGCATCCTGCAAACACCGATTTTGTGTTGGAACAAGATGAGAAAGTGTTCAGTGGTGGCTGTACTAAGATTATGTTGAAAACCAGGTCATTCTAGGATATCAGCCCACTAATATAGCTGAATGTGTCTCACAAAAATTTCTTGCTAACAGAAAATTCTCTATTTTTAGCTCTACTTAGTGCAGTCAGTCAGAATTCTTGTCTGCAGTTCATTATGAGAAGTAACTTCCAGTTTGGTTGAAGGGTAGTGTGACCAGCAGGAGCTTCAGCCTCATGGCTGCACTGTGAAATCACATTCCATCTGGAACATCTTCAGCTTTTGTTTTGAAGGAGAGTAGACTAAAAGAAAAGACCATTTTCTACAGGTTTTGTTTTTTTTTTTTCCAGATACTTGCTGAAATTACATTTGGGGGGAAAAAAAAAAAAAAAAGTATTAGGGCATTCAGTGTTTATCCGTTATTTACAGAGATAATTCTACTATACAATATCAATAGCTTGATCCAGCTGAAATGAGTATATGGAGCTTTATTAATTGCTCTGTTCCTTAAAGGTCACACTGGACTCACTTGCAAATCTGGAGGAATAAACTTCAGGAATTCACTTGAAGAACTCGCACTTGAAGAAAATTTGCAAGTATTATCACGCTGGGAATGGAGAATTGGTTTTTGCCAGGAGATGAGTAGGATGTTATAACAAGAGGATGCCTGAAGTCTTTGAATTCTAAAGGAGCTTATGAACATCTGTAATGCTTGTAGTAATGCACCAATTAGGAGGAAATGAAGTTAAATTTTTGTTTTCTGAACTCTTCTGTGTGTCTTTCTATCTATCTTGTCTTTTATGCATAACATTACCTGATGCCAGAGCTTGCACAAGAACAAATAAAGGAGATCTGGAGGTAACAAACTGTGCATGATGGAAAAGATTCAGCTGGAGTGTTCCATGGCATTTTGGGCATAATACTTCAGAGATGATGTGGGTCAAATGGAGGTACTCTGCAGAGATAAAAGAATAACTGGAGATTGTGACCAGCAAGAAATTAAAAAAGAAACAAGATCTCAGAACTCCAAAGGAGGGTGGGAGAAATATTCCTCAGGTGTACCAATACAGGAAAGAATAGCCTGTTCTGGAAGCATTCCAAAGAGATAGGACAATAGATCTAAATGTGAACAATATAAACCATAGGTCTAAACTGCAGTAAAGAAGATTCAGGGCCAAATCAAAGGAAAAAAATATTAAAGGGCATTCTAGTACTCAATTATAGTTCCTAGGAAAGCTGTTACATTTTCATCATTAAAGTTGCTATTTGACATTGCTTTAGGCAAGTATCTCTCAGGTATGGCTGGATGTGAGTTAAAAGAAAGAACTAGGTTGATTTTTGAGAACTTTTCTAACCACATTTCTATGAGGGCTGCTCTGAAAATAATGCCTCCTATTTTATTATGTTCGCCCACACCCTCAGAGGTGGATCTTGGTGGTATGGCAGTAGAAGTTGAACCCTCCCACCAATATTCCCTTCCTTACATGTTGTTACTGTGTGAAAGATGGCAGGAGGAGGGCAATCTGACAAAATGGCATCCAACGTGGAATTGCAAATGGAGCAAAGGTATGTGACTGAACTCCTCCAAGCAGAAAAAGTGCACTCACTGACATTCATCGATGCTTACTGAATGTTTATGGAGACCAAACAGTGTATATGAGCACAGTGAGGTGGTGAGTGGTGTGTTTTAGAAGTGGCAACAGTTGTGAAAGACAAGCCATGTTCTGGATGGCCACATAGATTTTTACAGCATGGCATGCTCTTGTTCATTGCTGGTGAAAATGTGACTGTGTTGAAAAGTGGTGTTTTGTAGCTGAGAATTTGCTCTATTAAATGGTGTTACTGTGCTCTCTGTATCTGTTCTAGTTTCCACAGAAATAAACAGGAAAAAAAAAAGGAGGCATTACTTTCATAGTGACCTACATATACCATGATTCAGAAGCAGGGGAGGAGAAGTTTATTACAGTTTGAAGCATAAAGATATACCAAAAGATGATGATCTTTTATATCATTCTTTTATTGCTAAATATTATGTAAAAAAAAAAAAAAAAAAAGGAAAAGTCAAGGAATTATTCCTATCTTCCCTATGTAGATTACAAAAAATAGTGGCCACTGTTCTACTTTGTCAAATGTGATGAAGCAATACCCCTATTATTATTCTCTCTCTCCTTGCTCTGTTATTGAAGGGCAAAGAATAAAGATATAATTTTCTGTCTCCAATAGTTTTAGGCATTATGGCTCAGGTATTGTTCTCAACCGTTGCTCTCTGATCTTGAGCGAGACTCAAAACCTTTATAATACTCCCATTATATAAAAGTCATTATTCTCTTGCCTCAGAGACTAAGGCATAAGTTACTCAATTTCTGCAGACAGTTTGATCAATGTATTACAAGGAAATATAAGATATTAATATCTTATTTATTGTTCCTTTCATACATCCATTCAGAACTCCCACTTTTCTGATTTTGCAGAGCGTTTCCAGCCTTCTTGTGAAAACGTTTTTAAGAGTGTCCATTTTGTGATTGACATTTTCCCTTTTTTGCTTCCTTTTTGTAAGGAATGAGACTTATGCAATCCTGCTTTTTTTTCTTTTCTCTTTGCCTTTTTTTAATGTGTGTATATATATTTTGTGTGAGCTGGTCAGTTTTGGTTAAGAAACAGAGGACCAGAGACAATGAACGTATTCTGTTCCATGCTTCATTCAGAAACAATGGCTGTCGGCTCCTCAGCTAAGTTTTAATTCCTGTGTAGACTCCCTTTCTCTGGTGGCGTTAAGAAGTTTAAAAGTCAGTTATCACAAGAACAAACGCTGCTCAAAATTAGGCTGCATCAGTTCCAGTGCTCACCCAACTACTTGTTGCCTTGTAGAGAAATTCAATTAAAAAAAGTCATGATCAGAATCCTAAGGATGAATTTGAAAACAACAAAAGGTGAGAAATGCAAAAGTAATTCTGTGCTCTTGCATAGAAACCATGCATAATGAAAACACTCTATTAAGATAGTACTTTGTGATAAATTTTACAGTGATTGTCTTTAAATCTAGTGTAATCTGAAGCCTTTAATATTCTCCTAGTCCCCCCTAAGAGTTTGTTTGCTCCTGGCTTTTCTGGGTGTGAGGAAAGCAAATGTCATGTTGGCTGGCTGCCTCTTCTCTTGGGCATGGTCATTGCAGATTGGCCCTAACCATTGTTTGTTTGTTTTTCAGATGTTCTGGGGCAAAACTCTGGGACAGGAAATAGCTGAGCCTGTCTGACACCACTGCAGCATTAGACTCGCTGGAACAGCTGGGGCTCATTACTTCACTGGGTATTCCTTGGCTCAGGCCAAACTCTCTTGGCTCTTTTTCACCTCTTCTGATGCATAGCTCCTAGAAAAACTGTGTCAAGAGCCTGTGTGCATGAATGCTCTTAATAGAGCTGATAAGCATCACCTGGTGCCCCCCCTCTATTCCCTCCACTCAAGGACTGCATTACATCTCAGACCTTGCCCAAGTTATGCTATAAATGTGTCTGCTTATAGCTCCAGCTGTGTTGCAGTAATGCCTGGCAATGGGCCCTTTTCATCTTTTTTCATCTGGCTGGATCCTAATTTATGGACCGAGTTCCTAGCTTGGTGTTAGACCTGCCCTGATGCTATGAACTTGCCTGGTGATTGTGTCTGACTCTGTCAGGGCTGACCCTCCCTTGCTTGCTTGTGTTTCTGACTTCATATGGGATCAATCCTGTTACCAAACACTTGACTTCCCTCTGTCCCCCACTGCTCCCTTGCAAATTGGAAGTTACATTGTAAGAGTGAAAACCAGGGGCAGTCTGGGACTCCAGGAGATGCAAGACTGCAGTTTGTCTTGAAAGGGTAGAGGTGCTTCCACTTCCTGACCTTCCCTCTGTTGCTCTTGTGAGGAGTTAAATTAACCCAGACAGAACCAAGCATGATGATTTTGACTATCACGTGTACATGAGATGAAATTTGCCCTTTTCCTTATTCTTGCAGATCCAAGAAGTCCTGGCTAAAATCAGGTGCTTACATGCATATTAGTGTTTACATGTATGGTATGGGCAAGGAGTGCTATTGTGGTATGGCTTGCCCTAGCTAACCCCTAACCCAAGAAATGTAAATAGCCTTCTGGCAGGAGATAGTGGGATACAGATTCTGTGACTTTCTATTATAGGTGGAGGAATGGAGAGAAGGAGGGAGAGTTGGGTATTTTTCCATTCGCTTTCCTGTGCATAGCACACGTTTCTGCACGGATATTCAGCAAAAGTCATTGATGATCGCATTAGCAATAATGTCTCTTGATGTTTGCAGTCCCTCTTAAGGAGGACAGGAAGTGAAATACTGTGTGTAAAAAGAGCTGAAGGTGGGAGATGGGAGGCTGGTGGCAAGTGAGTAGGTAATTAAGAGATGCCTTCTGTGTGGAAAAGTTCCAGCCATTCTGGCATTTTCTGTCTGAAAGGAGTCAATAAGCAGGTGCCTGCAGAAGAACAGGAGAACAGACCATTTCTGGAATAACTCTTCTCTTGGTACATTCTTCCTCCACAGTTCTGCCGACCTCCAGGTTAGAGACTTCCTGGTCAGGAACAGAAACAGTTCTGTTGGAAGACTTCCAGTGGACACACATATATTTGCTGTCTTTCTGAGAAGCATGTTAAGTACATTGGGCCTACCAAGCACTGGGTGATGTGACATACATATTTTGAATGTGTACTGTGCAGGTGTGCCCTCTCTATTTTTTCCTGTTTTTCAGGGGCTTTCCTTCTAAAGATCTACCTAGGCCTGCAAGGGCTTGTTCAGAAAAGTATGGTTATGGTCCAGTACAACACTTCTCCCCATGTGAAGCTCCTTCATTTCCACGAGGTTTGCTGGTCAGGTTTCAATTGTCTGTTTTCCAGTGCTTTGTGCTCTTCAATGCGAAAGTACTGCAGAACTTTTCCAGCTGATTTATGGTTTTTTTTTTTCAGTTCAGCATGATTTCTTTTGCTGGGTAGAATTGAAACAATACATTATTGTGTACCCTAACTTATATGTTCCTAGAAATATTGGTCTTCCATGACTGATGGAAAAGTAACTAAATTGCTTTTCCGAATTGTCAGCTACATCTTGCACATCCCTACACAGTAAGTAAAAGTCCAGCTTCCTTTCTGATACTTCACTGAACTTCTCTATCTAGGAATTCTAATTCCGTGTTTTTCCCATCCAAATACCACTGAAGATTGTCTTTGACTAGCTTCTGTAGACAAAATCAGGTCTAGAACAGTTATTGGGCTAGCTAGAGTAAGCTCATATATTGAAAGCTACTAGGCATTTGGCTAAATGGACTCATTAGGTTATTTGGAGACATGAATGAATTTTTATTCATTATTTTAATTTTACTTTTTATTCATTGTTTGTGAAGATTTTCAACAATAACAAATATCTTTGGCTTTAGTGCTCTCCTTCTCTTTCAGTTAAATCCTACCACACAACAATGGGGAGAGCAGAACTTTTCTGAAGTTAGTTATTGGCCTCAAGTTGCACCAGAGGAGATTCAGGCTGGACATTAGGAAATACTACTTCTCTGAAAGAATGGTCAAGCACTGGAGTGGGCTGCCTGGGGAGGTGGTGGAGTCACCAACCCTGGAGGAATGCAAAGAACATTTAGACATTGTGTTGAGGGACTTTGGTTAGTGAGAACTATTGGTGATAGGTGGACAGTTGGACTGGATGATCTTGTAGGTCTTCACCAAACTTGGAGATTCTATGATTCTATGACTGCTGTAGAGATAGGTGGTTTCCATTATACTGTTTTTGCAATAGTCGTGAGACAAAATCATGGGAATTACTTGCATAAAAGTTATGCTTTGTGGACTAACATAAGCAGGATGGTAGTTCTCTGGAATTCATGTGTTGTTTTGGGACGACATAACGTGCTCTCATCCGTCATGGTCTGTGAGTGACCACCCTTCAGATGGCCTCTTCCATCCACAGAGATGGAGCCTGAGGTTCGCAGTTTAACAGACATTGATGATCTTCTTTAGTCACCAGTCTGGAGCTGGCCAATGTTATACTAATACCATTGGTTACCCAGAAACTGACATTCTAAAAACCAAAAATTAATGAGTTCCCTGGGCTGGCTTATGATCACTTAATAATGTGCCATAGAGTTCTGTTTCTAAAGCACCATGTACTTTGCTTATGTATGATCTACTTTCATTTTTCTCCTGATAATTTCCCAGTTGTTTGACTGGTGCATAATTTCTTTTTGCAAAGCTTTCTGGCAAAAACAGAACTAAGAAAGATATCAGATGTGTTTCAGAAAAATAAAATCTGCCTCATTTTTATTCTAATGTAAGTAAATATATAACAAAATGACAGATAAGGCAAAATGGCTATTTTCTTTTTGGTAAAAGTAAAGAATGCTTTTGAATTAATTGTTTTCATTTGTATAGCAGTCTTCCTGTGCCTTAAAAAAATGTTTGAACTGGGGATATTTTATGTAAATTAAAAGATGTTTCTGAGTTGAATTTGATCAGTGCTTAGAATTCCACCTTAAATACTCCAAAGATGGCACTTGTTTAGGTTTCTGAAGATGGGAATATGATCTGCTAAAAATCAGACAAGTGAGCAGAAACAAACTATGACTTCTGCCCCAAGGGTAATGGAGATGGAGATGAATCCTGACAAGCACACACATGACAAGACCTAGGCAGAGCAAGAACGGGTGACTCACAAATTGTAGTGGCACGTTCTCTCCAAGGGCCTCAGTGTGCAGTAATGCCTGAAAGATCTCAACCAGGATCACATGATGCATGCAGTGGTTGGCTGACTGTTGAGCCATATAATAAAACCCCAA